CGTTTTCTCAGCGGTGCTTGCGTCGGGTTCAGAGGTTAGAGGTCAGGGTGGCTCTGGCTGTGTAGCGGAGGCCGTCACGGCCGGTCATGTTGGTTTCTCCTCAGGCAAAGAGAAAGCCAGCCCCGCCGGCCGCCCCCCCCACGCCGACCCGCAGGCCCCCGACAGCGAGTCCGTCATCGTTGCCATGGAGAGGGTCTCTGTGCTCTTCGACAGGTACCAACATTCACAACTAAACCACTTTCCCTGCCTCCGACTTGTCGGCGTTTGGGGCTAAAAACAGATGGCCGCCCACCCTGAGTTGAGAGGTTCTGCTCCAGGTTTCTGCCTGTTAAAAGGAAGTTTTTCCTTGCCTGTGTCGCCTAGTGCTTGCTCATGGTGGGAATTGTTGGGTTTCTGTAATTAACTCATTGACTGCCAGCCATTTTCAGAACAGAGAGTCCCATTCATGAGTTATAAAATGCTGTTGGGGGGGACTACAGTAAATGAAAATTCTCGTATTTTGGCGCTTTCTACTGTTAAAGAGACAGTGTCCCAAAAAGAGGAGCGGCTTTAAAAAGAAAATACATTAATAGGTTTGAGGTTTGATTCCCTACAGGATCCGTAAGGGGCTCCCCAGCGAGGCCCGGGTTGTTTCCCGGATCCTGCCCCAGTTTCTGGACGACTTTTTCCCCCCTCAAGACGTCATGAACAAAGTGATCGGGGAGTTCCTGTCCAACCAGCAGCCGTACCCTCAGTTCATGGCCACCGTCGTCTACAAGGTCAGCGGCCGGCCACTCGCTAATCAGGAAACCTCGTTAGGCTCATCTTTATTTACAAATTAGATTATGTGACCGAACAAGCAGAGCTGTGTGTTCACATCTGGACTAGGCTGGTTCTGATCCGAGATCTGGATCGGATCGGCAGGAGAAAATGCAAATCCAGACTCCAGATCCAGTTTTAAAAAAAAGTCCAATCTCACATTAGCATTAGCATTAGCATCTGTAACCCACAGGTCTGTGTCCTAACCATTAAGTTATTATCAGAGTAAATCCCTGTTCGACATGAGTCTGACAACTAAGTAAGTAGATAAATAACTTTAGACTTTAACACATGCTCTGATAGGCCGGGATTGGTATCGGGAAGTTTAAAAAGCTGGATCGGGACATCCCTAATATGAACCCCAAAGCCAAGGATGGATATCCAACTCCGCTCACATCCAAGTCGTCCATTTTGATTAGGTCACCAATAGGAAGATACCAAGCAAGAAAATCCTAATTGCTTCATGGCAATATAGACGTTAATTTAAAAATAGTCAAATTAATCTTGGAAACACTGAATTAAACTCTATCCATAATATTATGTTAAAATAGTGGATGTTAAATAGGTTTGAACAATAAGTCCAAACAAGTTTAATCAAATAATATTTATTTCTCACAATTATGAAGGGTTAGGGTTAGGGTTAAGTTTAGGGTTAGGACATCGTTTGTCTTCTGATTTCGTATAGACAGTAAAGTTTCATTTCCAACTCAGAAAGCTGCTAGTCACATGACCTAATCAAAATGGCCGACTTGGATGTGGGAGGAGTTGGATATAAACCGAGGCTCCTACAGGCTGCAGCCAGAGGCTAATCACCTTCTCAGCTTCAGCCTATCGGAGAGAAGCTCTGCTTGTTCGTTACAACGGCAAAATAATAACTAGAAATCCTCTGATTTTGAGGTTCGGTTCCTCGGTTTTATCTGGACGGGATTTTAATGGTGGCGTCTGTTTTTTCAGGTTTTCCAGACCCTCCACGCCACGGGCCAGTCCTCCATGGTCCGGGACTGGGTGCTCCTGTCCCTGTCCAACTTCACCCAGAGGACGCCGGTGGCCATGGCCATGTGGAGCCTCTCCTGCTTCTTCGTGTCGGCCTCCACCTCCCAGTGGATTTCAGCACTGTATCCTCACTCAGATCAGAGCCCATCCGCCTTAAAAAAACCTCCAGTTCTCTCAAAAACCGCCTTAGAATCCGGTGTGTCTTAAACAGTGGGGGAAATAAGTATTTGACCCCTTGCTGATTTTGCAGGTTTGCCCACTTACAAAGAATGCAACGATATATAACTTTAATCATATGTACATTCTAACAGTGAAAGACAGAATCCCAAAGAAAATTCCAGAAAATCCCATCATATGAATTTATAAAAATTGATAACCATCTGAT